GCGGGCCGGGTCATCTCACTCACTCCCAGAAATGACTTTGGGAGTTCTGCTTCTCTTTCAATTTCATTAAAGTTTGAGGAGATATCCTCGAAAGTTCTTACAGAATGAGGCAGTGAATCCACTGGAATCTAAGTTTCTCTTAGTCATTTTAAAAAATTACTTCTTCAGTTTCATTGAGTGATAGTGGATTATTCAAGATTTTTATAAGTTATCAGTTCATCTTTGGTAATTCATTTGTATCTAGAATTCTATCCATTTCTTCTGAATTTTCCATGATTTTAGAATGCAGGGTCTCAAAATAGTTATCAATGATCTTTTTAATTTTATCAGAATCTGCTGTAATTTTCCCTTTTTCATGTCTAATAACATGGATTTGGTTCTTTTCTTTTTTGTGGAACCAGGGATTGAACTCAGGCCCTCGCCCTTGCCAGGCAGCACTTATTCTACTGAGCTATCTCCCTGGCCCCTTTTCTTTCCATATTTTGGCAAGATAGGGTAAGGATTTTTCTTTTTTGGTTTATTCCTTAAAAAAAACCAACTCTCTGATTCATTGATTCTTTGTATTGTTTGTTTAGTTTTCATTGCATTAATTTCTGCTCTGGTCTTTACAATATCTTTCCTTGTACTAGCTTTGGATTTGGGTTGTTCTTGTTTTTCTAGGACCTTGAGGTATAGATTAGGTTATTTATTTGAGCTCCTTCTGTTTTTCTGACATGGGCACTCATTACTATAAACTTCCCTTTTAGGACTGCTTTCATTGTGTCCCATTAGTTCTGGCATATTGTACTAGCATTATCATGTGATTGTAGAAACAGTCTAATTTCTTCCTTAATTTCAGCTGGGACCTATTACTTATTCAAGAGAATACTGTTTAATTTCCATGTGCTTGCATAATTTATATGGTTTCTTTTGCCATTGATTTCTAGTTTCATTGCAATATGATCTGATAATATGCATGGGTTAATTTCAATTATTTGCATTTACTCAAGCATGCCTTCTGAGCTAGTATATGGCCTGTTTTAGAAAAAGTCCCATGTACTGCTGAGAAGAATACTTATTCTGTTGCTGTTGGGTGGAACACTGTGTAGATATCTGTAGTAAGTCCACAACTTATGAAAGAGTTTTGTTCTGGAGAAT